TTAATCCCACTATACCCCCCGTATACCCCCCCTATGCCCCTCCATTCCACCCCAATCCCCAAAAGTTTCTCAGTGGATTTGGGCTGTACTCGGCAAGCACATTATAGCCCCCAACTCAGATTTGAAAAAATATCTGTGGATGGCTGTTTTCTGACTGGTCGACCCTGCTGCTCGGCTGCAAAACGGTCGGCAGTCGGGGTCGCAGGTTGGCAGGTATGCAACCCTGCCCAAAGTGATTTTCTGCCATCTAAGAGTTTGTTTCTGTTTTTTCTGATTTTTTTCATATATTTTCCCCGACAAGTTTTTCAGAATGTTAGATCACAATCGGCGGGGTCCCAGGCAGCCCCAGTGCAAAATTTAATAATTAAAGGCATCAAGCTCAGTTGGTTTGAGCACGGAAGTGGTTTGCAGGAGGTCATGGGTTCGATTCCCCACGTCGTCCATTCTATCCCCACGGCCTCCTGTGATGCGCTTCAGGTTCTCCAGCGGAGATAATTGACTTGGGCGTTATCTCGGGCCTCCTGGCTGACCGGGAAGCGACCATTTGCACCTTCCAGCTCGTGCCTGGTGTTAGAAGCTTGGGTGCTGCTCCCCGCACAGAGCAGATGTGGCTCTCTTAACTTAGGAGAGATTTCCTGCCTGGGCACGAAAAACCCTGCAGTGGATTGCTAAGCTGCGTGCAGGTAGGTAGGTAGTGGGAGATATATCGAGAGAACAATATAGGTTAGTTAAAAAAAAAAGAAAAAAAAGAAAGGTCTGAAAGGAACAAATGCTGCGTAGAATTGCAATGCAAACAACCTTTGGCTGATGGTTGCATCAGCATTCCTAAGTGAATTGAAAATAAGAAAAAAAATAAAAATGCAACTCAGGCACCCTCTTTCAAGCCCCTTTTAAGTCCCAAGTCCCGTTTATTCCCTCCTCCCCTTGCCAACCGACAAGACTGAAAACCAAAAAGGAGTGTGGATTTGGGGTGCTTTCTGTGGACGCAGAAAAATCCCATTAATGAAAAGACAAAAAACTTGACAACTGCAGGTGGGCCTGTCGTGGCGGACCTAGATGGGTGGACGGTCGGGACTGGCCTTGCTGCCCTGGCAGCCTGGACATAACTTATTTTTTCAACTATTTGACATTTGTTTTGGTTCAAGGTTGCCGTGTGCCGCATTTGGGAGTCTTTTGGACCATTGAAAATTCTGCCATTTCCAAAATTTCTGAAAATTTCTGAAATTGGAATGTTGGCGAAATTTGCATGAAAGTGCACTTTTGCCTTGCAGTTTTATAGGGTTCCTCCCCTCCCYCCCCCCCCCCGCCCCCTTTTTTTTTTGCTGTTAGTTAATATGGTGTCCACTCCATAAACTGATGGCAAGTTTGGTTAAAAGGGCCTTTGGGTTTTCTTATAAATGGCATGATAAATAGTCTGAAAATTTAGATCTCTGTTAACCATCTCTCGCTGAATTACACGTGTCCCTGGGAAGCAGCACCAGTGCCGCCCAGTGGACGACTGGCATGATAAATAATCTGAAAATTTAGGTCTCCGTTAACCATCTCTCGCTGAATTACACGTGTCCCTGGGAAGCAGCACCAGTGCCGCCCAGTGGAGGGCAGAGGAGGCAGGCAGTGCCAGCCATAACTAGGCTGGGCTTCTGAGAGGTGGAGGCTGTAGTGAGGGTCATACCTCGCGGTTGACAATGAAAGCTTCATCATGGTACATTTTGCGTTCACACACCGGTGTGAGCAGCATTGTACATTGGTGTAGTGTGGGCTAGGGTAGAGTATAGAGTAGTTGTCACGGCACCTGGTAGTGGGACCAGTGGGAGCCGTTAACTACCATTTCTTGTTCTATTTATTGGTGGGAGGCAGTAAGGGGGGCTTTCTTCATCCAGAAACTACAGCATTGTCCATTCTTGTGCTGGTGTGATCATCGCTTTGCCATTTCTGTAATTTGGCTTGTTGCCATATGAATGCTGCTCACGAGAGTTCATTGTGCTCGTGAATTGAGTTTCTCAGAACTTTCTCCAGCACGGTTTCGCTGGAGTGAACATGGATGTCGAACAAAATCTGAGCTTGTGCATCAGACTTTGTTATGCGCAGCAGTTCCAACTTTGACTTTGATTATGAGTATTGCTTTGGCTCTGCTTCTGGCTTAAACACTCTTGACCATGATGATGATCTGTTCCATCTTGTGTTTGAATTTGTGTTGGTGGTTACTGTTGCAAATTGGTGTCCCTGAAGGTATGCAGCACCCATAACAGTGGATGTGGAGTACACAAGGGGCAAGGAAATAGTGGTGCGCAAAGGTAAAAATGGGCAGGTTAGTGTCACAAATGTCAAGGACCCAGACCAAGCAGATTGTTTATCAAACTCTCCTGACGTGCCATATGAATGGTCCACCCTCGAACAAATGGTATAGTCACACATTAGTCAGCAAACTCTTACCCAAATAGGTGAAAATTATACGAATACTAAAAATGTAAATACAGTTATACTGTCCTTTGGGAGATCTGTTAAAATTGGAACGATGCAGTGAAGATTTGTGGCCCCTGCACAAGGATGATTTATGTTGCATGGAGGATGACACATAAATTGAAAAGTGGCCCCCTCTCCCCCCCCAAAAAAGATGCCGGATCTACGGTAAAGGGTGCAATCAGACCTGTCTTTCTTGACACTTAGCATGCATACAAACAGATGAAGATCAGCTGGCGACTTGCGCCCGCACAAAACTCAGAGATAACGAAGACAAGAACGCAGTTCAGATTCAACTTGTTTTGATCGGCTATGGCCGATCGTTGTACCCTCAGGAACTCGTTCGTACACACACCCTGAATCTCCCTGGATGTCCCGCACATACACATACACTGAACACACTCACACACACACACACAGACTTACTAACTCTCCAGCTCTAAGCTATGGGCAGCTACGGCTGCCTTCTTGTACTAACAGCTCAAGCGGCTATGGCTGCGCCTTCCTCCTCTTAGCCCACTTCCCCTACGGGCACCTGCAGACCTTCATACACAAGACGCTCCGACAGCGCTTCCACACGGCTCACAGGCAGAATGAATGAATGACTGATCGCTGCCTCTTTATTTATACTTCGGATTGTTGCTGGTCTGCCCTTCTCCACTGGGCCCAGAGTGCACACAGTCCGGCATGGTACTTGCTGACTTGACAAGGTGCGACTGGGACTGGGTACCGCTGACTACGCAAGTTAAGACTGCTCACTTGACCACTTGCCTACGGACTGACTACTAGGACTCACAAAGGGCCAATTCCGGATCTTCCGGAAGGCTGAGGACTTTACCCTTCGACACTGTAGCAGCTATGACCTTGACCCTTCACTACTGTAGCAGCTATGACTCCTGCTACTGCTACGACCTCTAAACTACAGACCTACGGCTCAAGACCCGACGACCACCCTACCTACAGTAAACAAACAGGCGACTTTCAAGACGCAGGTTGCGGGTTCAAGCACACACGGGTCAACTGGTACTGTACACAGGTAAGGGTGAGGTGTGGGGATGGAGTCCTGGGAACTGCATCTACTACCGCAAAGAGAAAACCGTTTCAATGGTGAAAAATGGGAAAGAAAATTAAAAGTAAAAATAGTAAAACAAGTTTAAATAGCTTAAATAAGATGAAAAGGTTCAGAACTTCAGAAGTGTTTTTTTTTCATAATGATGAAGCAGATAAATTTCATCCGGATTCGAACTTGTACGTGTTGTTTACTAACGGTGTCATGTGTCTTTACTATTTCCCTGCATGTGCTGGGTGGCGTTCACACTGTTCTTGCTGCATAAAAAAACAAGCGCCGAAGTATGGCAATGAACAAGGAAAATCAAACCAAGAGAAAGAGTAGCACGTGATAACTGACTGGTGACTGGAGGATAGGGATCAAATCCTCTTCATTGAGTTACAGATCTGTGTTCTTAACGTCAGAGACAAATGGTCAAAGGATCATAACCTGGATGCCGTTTGATGCCTGCGTAGTGGGCAGCTATGTCTTCTCAGACGTGGTTGGGTATCTGTTCCGGTACACGGCCAGTTTCGTATCCATGTTTAGTTCAGACCACATGTGGGTCAGTCATGTCTGTTGCAAATATGTAAATCAGGTTTCATTTTTGTGCTTGTTTCCTGCCGTTCCTCATGAAGTAGATAATTTCACTTTGTGCATTGTGCTCTTCTATCAACGGACCAGGGGCGTGCGTTGATCTGATGAGATTAAGGGTGAATATAGTTTGATGACTTTTGGGGTTTCCTCTCTCAGATGGCTGCATTACCAATCGTGGAGGTCTTGTGAAGCTGTGAAGGCTCAGGCTGAGGCTCTTGAGGGGTTTTGTTTGATCTGCAGGGCGCAATTGTGATTGGACGGATGCCTCTTATGCTTCGTAGCGCACGCTGTGTACTGGCTGGCAAAAGTGAGGCTGAACTTGCCAAATTAGGTGAGGCAGAATCCTCCTGTTGAATAATACTTTCTCGCATAGCCATGTATTCGTCACCCTGTACATCTCCCTGCTTTAATCTCTTTCTCTCTCTCTTCCCCCCCTGACTCCCTGACCCCCTGACCCCCTGACCCGAGAGGCGGTTAACGGAGGCCCTAATTTTAAGACAACTTGTCGTGCCATTTATAACAAAATCCAAGGGTCATTTTAACCAAACTTGCCACGAAGTCAGAGAGTAGAGACCATAGTTACCAACTGCAAAAAAAACCGAAAAAAAAAAAAAAAACTGGGTTAGGCCGACGCCCGGGCCAGACGGACGGGGGGGGTCCGTCCAGCAAAATCAGACGAGCCAAAAAACATCCCACGATTTTTTTTTCTTTTTTGAAGTTTTTTCTTGAAGATGGGGTTGGACTGCACTTGGTGAGAGGAGCCCAAATCCGCAGAGAAACTTGTGAAAGGCATCTGTGTTGCGGGAAAGGGGGGGGAAAGGGAGGAGTTTGAGGGGAGAGGGGAGGGGGGGTTTGACAAGGGGGTAAAAGGGTGTGTTGCAGCTGCCAGTCCGCTGAGCGGAGGGGTTAGAGGAGGAGGAGGACCTGCTGGTAGTGTATGGGGACGGCGGAAAAAGAAAATAATACTAAGAGTATGATGGAGGACGAGGAAGAGGAGGAGGAGGAGGAGAGGAGAAGACAAAAGTAGGTGGAGGAGGAGGGGAGAAGAAGAAGAGAAGGAGAGGAGGAGGAGAGAAGAAGAAGAAGAAGAGCTGCAGTCTGCCCACTTCCCTTCTGTTGTTCGGGCAGAAAAAAAAAAGAGGAATGGGAGATGGGGGGCCGTGGGATATGGCTGGCAGATGTGCGAGATGGTGGGCGGTAGGATATTGTGGAGGAGGAGGAGGATGAGGCTGAGGAGCAAGAAGAAGAAGAAGACGAGAGGAGGAGGAGGAGGAGGGGAGGAAGGAGGAGGAAAGGAGGAGAAGAAAGAAGAAGCAGACTTCAAAAAGAAAAGACAAGAGTAGGAGGAGGAGGAGGAGGAGGAGGAGGAGCTGCCATTTCTGTATGGCGATAACAAGAAAAGAAAAAAAAGAGGAGGAGGAGGAGGAGGAGGCGGAGGACGAGGAGAGAAAAGAAGACGAAATGAGGAGGAAGAGGAGGACAAAGAGGAGGAGAAGACGGCGAGAGGAGCAGCAGCAGCAGCAGGAGGAGGAGGAGGAACTGCCGATTGTCTGGCGATGACGAGGGGAAAAAAAAAACGAGGGGAAAAAAAAAAAGGCCGATGGAGGAGGAGGGGGAGGAGGGAAAACAAGAAGGCGAAATGAGGAGAAGGAGAGAAGAAGAAGAAGACGAGAGGAGAAGCTGGAGGAGGAGGAGAGAAGAAGAAGACGAGAGGAGGAAGAGGAGGAAGAGAGAAAAGAAGACAAAATGAGGATGAGAGAAGAAGAAGACGAGAGGAGGAGGAGGAGGAGGAGAAAAGAAGAAGACAGAATGAGGAGGATGAGGAAGAGGAGTGAAGAAGAAGAAGACGAGAGGAGGAAGAGGAGGAGAGAAAAAGAAGACGACAAGAAGAGGAGGAGGAGGAGAGAAGAGTAGAAGACAAAATGATGAGGCGGAAGAGGAGGAGAGGAGAAGAAGAAGACGAGAGGAGGAGGAGGAGGAAGAGAGAAGCAGACGAAATGAGGAGGAGAGAAGAAGAAGAAGACAAGAGGAGGAGGAGGAGGAGAGAAAAGACAAAGACGAAATGAGGAGGAAGAGGAGTGAAGAAGAAGACGACGAGGGGAGGAGGAGGAGGAGAGAATAAGAAGACGAGAGGAGGAGAGAGGAGAAGACAAATGAGGAGGAAGAGGAGGAAGAGGAGGAGAGGAGGAGAAGAAGACCAGAGGGGGAGGAGGAGGAGGAGGAGCTGCCGGTTATGTCTGGCAATGACGAGGGAAAAAAAAAAAAAAAGGCCAATGGAGGAGGGGGAGGAGGAGGAGGGAAAACAAGAAGCCGAAATGAGGAGTGAAAAGAGGAAGACAAAATGAGGAGGAAGAGGAGTGAAGAAGAAGAAGACCAGAGGAGGAGGAGGAGGAAGAGGGAAGAAGAAGAAGACCAGAGGAGGAGGAGAGAGGAGAAGACGGAACGAGGAGGAAGAGGAGGACGAAGAGGAGGAGAGGAGGAGAAGAAGACCAGAGGGGGAGGAGGAGGAGAAGGAGCTGCCGGTTGTGTCTGGCAATGACGACGAAAAAACAAAAAAGAAGGCTGATGGCGGAGGAGGAGAAGGAGGAGGAGGGAAACCAAGAAGACGAAATGATGAGGAGAGAAGAAGACGAAGACGAGAGGAGGAGGAGGAGGAGAGAAAAAAAGAAGACGAAATGAGGAGGAGAGAAAAGGAGAAGACAAAATGAGGAGGGGAAGGAGAGAAGAAGAAGACGACGAGAGGAGGAAGAGAGAAAAAAAGAAGACAAAATAAGGAGGAGGAGAGAAGAAGAAGAAGACGAGAGGAGGAGGAGGTTGGCTGTGCGCGAGGAGGCGGAGGTCGGCACCTCGACCATGGGTAGATCGACGACAACGTGGCAGGTCGACGACGGGCGGTGCGATGCCAGCTCTGCGCGAGGAGGAGGAGGAGGTCGGCGCCTCAACGATGGGAAGGTCGACGACGTTGTGACAGCTCGACGATGGGCAGCGCAATGTGAGCTCTGCGTGAGGAGGAGGTCGGCTATGCGCAGAGGGCACCTGGATGACGAGGTCAGCTATGTGCGTAGGGCACCTGGATGACGACGGGGCAGGGGCAGCTGGATGACGACGCGCCAGGGGCTGGTCGATGGCGACGGGCAGGTCGATGACGACGGCCAGCTCGATGACGACGACGGGGTTTCAAACTTCGTTGGCGGGGAGGACAATCCCCCGTTTGAATTTGAATGTGGGATCGTAGCCGTCCAACCTAGAATGTTAGAAAGTGACTGAAAGTTGCGGTTGGGGAGGTTGCCACTGATCGAAAAGGCCTCCCCCCCCCCCCCCGCGCACGAAATTACGTTGGGCCCGCCCTTGTCCCAACCGGGTGACCCAACCAGCCCGCCCGCCCGGGAGCCCTACCGGACGAAGGCCAGGCCGTTGGGCGGTCCGGATTTTAACGCATATAAAAAACCTATAAAACAGCAAGGCAAAAGTGCACTTTCATGCAAATCTCGCCAACATTCAGTTTTAGAAATCTTGAGATATTTCAGAAATCTTAGCGGAGGAAATTCCAATGGTCCAAATGCGACCAAATTTCGTACACAACCTTGAACCAAAACAAAAACAGGCGGGAAAAAAAAAACCCATAAAATTTGACCCCCAAACCCTAATTTCAGTTTTGGACCTGTTAGTCAGGAGCTGAAACTGGGGGTCCCTGTTAACCACGTGTGCCTGACACCCAGTCCCCCCCCTCTACCCCCTCCCCCCCCCCCCCCCCCCCCCCCCCCCCCCCCCCCCCCCCCCCCCCCCCCCCCCCCCCCCCCCCCCCCCCCCCCCCCCCCCCCCCCCCCCCCCCCCCCCCCCCCCCTTCCCCTCTTTTCCTTGACCCCCTTTCCTCTCTCTTCCATTAATCAACATGCTCTATTTGATTCGTGTATTGAACCATGCCTTTCTCTCTGTTTTTGTCTCGCCCCTTCCTTGCTGTCTAGTGTCATAACCAAACAGTTCTCCTTTTGCAGTGAGGCACATATTTGTCATTCACCTATAATGTGACTTATTATATAAATTTGATGCTTGAAGGAAGGGACCTAGTTGGTTCTGTTTCGGTGTCAAGCGCGTCGGCTCCCGACCTTTTGCGAAGCACTGGAGCCCTCTCGGCCATGTCACGTAGGAGTAAACAAAACAAATTTCGAGACAACTAGGGAACGAAGCATGATTAATCCCGCAAGCCGCCGAAACGGGAGCGGTCGCATCGTTCCTTTGTCGCTCTAGCCGGGTGCGCCAACTGTACATCACACGGTCCCCTACAACATGATAGGTTTCCGTGGGGTACAACTTACACGGAGTACAACTTACCTTCCCTAAGGGGCTGTCACCATCGTCAGGGGCGTATCCCTACCCACGTGCGGAAGTTTTTACATGCAATTGCAAAGGTAGGTCAGCCAAGGGTGTTTGCTCGTTCGCTGGAGTATAGGTACGCTTGGTTAATGCCAAGTGGACCCGAACGCTGTCCGTTTCCTGTCTCCTAGGTACGAAACGAACGTCGGTCAACTACGACGGTTTCAACCAAGCGTGAAACCCACAATATAATCGTAGCCCTTTATAACTCTCTGATCACAAAATAAATAAAATCAGTACATTTTTTATTAAATCACACAAGATAGGATTTCTGACTTGATGAGATGATCTGCCAAAGTTATTCTTCCCAACCCATGTGACTGAAGAGACTTTTATATGGTCGCTTCCTAGGCGGAGGCTCGATATTGACGAAAGATTAGGAAAGGACAACCTAACATTTGACTTATGGATTGGTCCATTAACATACCTATTAAAACCTGCCAGGAATGACTTCTGCAAGTAAATTCTACTGCTACCATGCATATCAACAAGTGATCAGGTTCCTGGTCGAAGTTTGAACTCTCGGTTTGACCACACCTTCGTACCATATGTGGCTTGCTTGGAGGAAAGTCAAATAAAAATTTTGTTGGTCGCTTTGTCCTCCTTGGCAATAATTACTCTTTTTCGTTCCTCGAATGATAAAGTATTCATCTTCATCATCAGGTTACTCAAAACAAAATCGCAGTCGTTATCACTGCGAAAAGAGAATGATTACTTTCATTACCTACTTCTTACGGGCTGGAGCTTTTATGTCTCCCAACTTTTTATTATAATGGTGGCGCATAAAGCATGGGAACCGACTGGACGTCCGGACCGGTTTCCAGACACCCCCAAACATTATGTAGGGGTTCGGTGTCCGGTCCTCGACGTTCGGAACCGGCCCCCCCAACGAAAAATCAGAAAAAAAAAGGGGCCGCCAAGGACATTATCCGGGTCCTCGGCGGCCCCTGAAAAATACTGGGCCGATTTTTGTGTGTCTTTTCGCCCTATTGGACATTGGTCGAAGGCCGGACCCACCACAGTCTGTGCAGACTCAGGTGGGGTGGCGGGAGGCAGGGCCAACACTTTCAAATTGGCCGTTTTTGAATCTCGTGGGCACGTTGTCTGTTGCCCGTCACGTCCCCCCTGCTGCCCGCAGCCATCCACGAGGAAGCCGCCATCCACGTCCCTTCTGCAGCCCCGCAGCCGTCCACGAGGAAGCTGCCATCCACGTCCCCCCTGCAGCCCCGCAACCATCCACGTCCAGCCCTCGCCGACGAACCAGCCAGCCGCCGCCAATGTCCAAGGAGCAGGTCAGTCTCTCTCTCTCTCTCTCTCTCTCTCTCTCTCTCTCTCTTCCGGCTTTGTCCTTTCGTCCACGGCGGGAGCTTCGGGAGGAGGTTCGGGGAGGGAGAGGGGAGGCACGCAATGGGAGGAAGGAGGCTCAGGGAGTGAGGGATGGAGACCGGCGGGTAGGGTCGGGAAAGATGGGGGGTTGGGATGGAGACTGGCGGGAAAAATAGGGGA